TCTGGTTCACCTACAGCCTTGCAGTTTCAGAGACCCTTCCCTGTCATGTCCGTCTATGTTACAAATCCCTGCAATATTTCTTCATAACATCCATCATGGTACTTACCATGTAGGGTAATTATTTGTGATTTTTTTTTCTAATTTGTCTTACTCAATAGGCAAGTCTATTTAATTCACTGCATTATCCATGACACTTAGCAAAACTTCTGGTAACATAGTAGATGATCAATAAACATTTGCTGAATAAGTAACAGATACCTAGGTTCCTAATTCCTTCTTCCTTTGCCATATATTTCCCACCTAGAATCTGAGAGACAGAAAAAGAGAGAGAAAGACCTGAGTAGCTGTCCAAATAATTAATGTGTTAGGGAATTTTTTTAGGCAATAAACTATTATTTGTGCTACCATAATGGTAGACACATGACATTATGCATTTGTTAAAACATATAGAGGTATATGGTACAAAAAGGGAACCCTAATGTAAACTAGTTAATGTGTTAGCGTGCCTTTGCCAATTATAACAAAGTAATGCAAGATATTGATGATGTGGAAACCGAGGGTGGATAGATAAAAGCTCTCAGTAGTTTCTCATCAATTCTTTCTTTATATCTAAAACTTCCCTGAAATAATGTCTGTTAATTTTTAACATGCAGGGGAAGTGAAATGGTCCCTAAAAACTTGTTATTTCCCAAGCTCAGTTATGGGGGAGAACTATTCTCCCTTCCCATGTCCAATACTCACCACAGCTCTCATCTCAGTTCTAGTTATTTTTCCTACCAGCTTACTTATGAGTGATAAATGCTCTGGTAGTTTAGATGTCCTTACATTCATGTACAGCCAATTTCTAGTAAAATAGATTATGTTTCAAAGATTATTTTTAACTCAGTTGTAAGGAATTCTGAACATATTAAATTTTTCATATAAGCAGTGTTTTCATTTGAAATTAGATTGCCAAGCTAGGCTGGTTTATTCCAAGGAGGATGAGGAGGTCTTAGGAAGAGAGGAAGAAAGGAAGAAACTGTAATATCAGTGCTTTGAGAGGCAGAGGCAAGAAGTTTACTTAGGCTTAGGAGTTCAAGACCAGTATAGGCATCATAGTGAGACCCCATATCCAAAAAATATATATATACATTAAGGAAAATTAGCTAGGCATGGTGGTACACTCCTGTAGTCTTAGCTACCTGGGAGGCTGAGGCAGGAAGATCACTTGAGCCCAGAAGTTCTGAAGGAAGAAAGAAAAGAATAACCACTACAATTCCTAAACACCTGCTCTATGTCAAACACATATGCATCCATGCATTTTATGTCTACCCAGCAGTATTCAGAGACAGTTATTATTATTGGTATTTTGTAGTTGATAAAACAGAGATTAAGAGAGTTTAAAAACTTGTCCAGAGTTACACAACTTAAAAACTTGAAGTTTTTCTGAGAAGGGAGTGAAAATATTTAAATTGAGATAGGAAATAACAAACCAACGACATTCACATGCACAGAATAGCTGAAAGTCAAATTTTAATAATTTCAGCAACATTTATATTGAGACTACTGGTTTGAAAATTCCCAGAGATTTTTATAATTACTAGATATAATGTATTTTAAGATTAAAATTTAAAAATCATCAGTAAAGATTTTCTATAGCAGTTGATATCTTTTTTCTCTTGCCCTCTTCTGAATTTTGATAACAATTATTATCACACAAAGAGTAATTCTCCATATGCATAAATACATACCCTGAAGTGTCTCTTCCATAAACTAACATATTTAGCCCAATATCACAAACAAAAACCTAGACCCAACCATTGTGAAGTTTGCTCTGTGGTAAGAAAATTCAGAGAGGATTAATACACCAGTTTGTAAAACAAAAACTCTTACCAAAAAAAATCATCCTTTTATCAGATGGTTTTGCAGAGATGGCGTGGTGACGCATAGGGTGGTTATGGTTTTGAAATGCTGCGATGCGCTTTTCTGTCTGCATTTTCTTGTACTGACCTTCATGCATTCCTCCATAAGTAGTCATGTACATATGGAAGAGGGGGTGTGAATGGAGGGGACTGGAGCCAGCTTAGATTTGTTATAGCAGGAATGCAAAACAAAGAGTTACTATTCCTCTTCTGACACCCATAATATGATTTTGCAGCAATATAATAATTTAAAGAGACACTTTTTTTTCAGAAAAAACAAATTCTTAGAATCCATTAATATTCATGAATATATCAGGATGAATCCAAGAGAAATTACATAATATGGTTTCTTCCCAAGTACGGAGAGGACTACCTCTTCTCGCTATAATCTAAATGTAGAAACTTATCCTATAGAGAATGTGGTGATGACATAGGACAGTCACTTTCACATATTTTGACCAAAACCCTCAGGAAGAAATGCATTTTATCTCATCACTCAGCACACAGAAACAGGTATAAAATGAATATATAACCATAGCTAAATATATGTTTAAAAATAGAAATTAAAACTCTACAAAATGGTATTTAAAAGTTAATGTGAGAGTAGGCAGAGGGATGAATAGGCAGAGTACAAATAATTTTTAGGATAGTAAACTTTTCTGTGTGGTGACTCCGAACTGTTAGAATGTCCAACACCAAAAGTGAACTCTGACGTAAACTATGGATGTTAGGTGATACTGATGTGTCAGTAAGTTCATCAAATGTAACAAATGTGCCACTCCGGTGAGTGATGTTGATTGTGGGGGAGAGGGTGTGGAAGGGGTCAGGGTGAGGAGTAAATGGTAACTGTACGTACTGCTCAATTCTGCTGTGAACCTAAACTGCTTTGAAAAATAAAGTCTACTAAAAAATTAATATGCCCTAATATTTTCTATTCTATTTATTTATTTTTTTTTTAGACAGGGTCTCACTCTGTTGCCCAGGCTGGGGTGCAGTGGTGCAATCACAGCTCCTATGGTAAACTTCACTTCCAGGGCTCAAGGGATCCTCCCGAATCTTAGCCTCCCAAGTAGCTAGGGCTACAGGTGTGCGCCATCAAGCCTGGCTAAATTTTAATTGTTTTGTAAAGATGAGGTCTCACTATGTCACCGAGGCTGGTCATAAACTCCTGGACTCAAGCAATCTGCTCACCTCACCCTCCCAAATTGCTGGGCTTCCAGGCATGAGTCACCATACCTGGCCTATTTCAGTTTTTTTTTTTTTGTTTGTTTGTTTTTTACGAGTGTGTTGCAACAATTTGCTCAGGAGTTTCAAACTAAAATTTGAGACATTGATCTGGTGGAAGGAAAAGCCTAAACGTTGCCACCTCACAAACATTGTGAGAAGAGAGAAATAAGTAGAATAAATAAAGCAGGTGAGTAAATAATACAGAAAAAGAGATAAAAGCCCTTTTCCTCTGTCTCCTCTAAAAACAGCATTCTACAGAAAAGGTATCTTTAGAAACATACAGAAACATCTAAGGGAAATTCCTACAGCAGAGAAACTTTTATCTCACTTCCCATTTGGTATTCCTAAGGAAGGCCATTGCCAGGCTGTCCTGCAGCACCCTGCTGGTATTGACATCATAGCAAGCCCAGTGACACAGGATGATTCAGAAAGGCAAGGGCCCTTGCTCTGCTCCCCAGAGCTACCCTTGGATCACATGTGGACCAAGTGGGACCTAGCCATTTTCACATGGACTCAGTAGAGACATATCTCATCTGAGACAAATCTAATAGGGGTGGGGGATATCGGTGGGCCCGAAATGGAAGTCTAATATAGGGCTGCAGACAGGTTTACTGGGTTGCTCTCATAGCTGTGCTAACCAGCAGCAGCAGCAGGTCAGATGGAGTAAAAAGAGCAAAGGCAGACACCAAACTCTCAACAAGTCAAGGGAGAGGGCAGCCCATGAATTGTACCAACAGCAGACATTAACATAATAGCAAAGGTCAAAACTCATTATATCTCAAGGATCACACCAATCTTGTTTTCTAATAGAAATGTCCAAAATATCTACAACTATACAATCTTTGATAAACCTGACAAAAACAACAAATGGGGAAAGGATTCCCTATTTAACAAATGGTGTTGGGAAAACTGGCTAGCCATGTGCAGAAAGCAGAAACTGGACCCCTTCCTGACACCTTACACTAAAATTAACTCCAGATGGATTAAAGACTTAAACATAAGACCTGGCACCATAAAAACCCTAGAAGGAAGTCTAGGCAAAACTATCCAGGACATAGGAATAGGCAAGGACTTCATGAACAAAACACCAAAAGCATTGGCAACAAAAGCCAAAATAGACAAATGGGACCTAATCAAACTCCACAGTTTCTGGACGGCAAAAGAAACAGTCACTAGAGTGGATCGGCAACCAACAGAATGGGAAAAAATTTTTGCAGTTTACCCATCTGACAAAGGGCTGATATCCAGAATTTGCAAAGAACTCAAACAGATTTACAGGAAAAAAACAAACAAGCCCATTCAAAAGTGGGCAAAGGATATGAACCGACACTTTACGAAAGAAGACATATATGAGGTCAACAATCATATGAAAAAATGCTCATCGTCACTGGTCATCAGAGAGATGCAAATCAAAACCACATTGAGATACCATCTCACGCCAGTTAGAATGGTGATCATTAAAACATCTGGAGACAACAGATGCTGGAGAGGATGTGGAGAAATAGGAACACTTTTACACTGTTGATGGGAGTGTAAATTAGTCCAACCATTGTGGAAGACAGTGTGGCTATTCCTCAAGGCCTTAGAAATAGAAATTCCATTTGACCCAGCAATCCCATTACTGGGTATATACCCAAAGGACTATAAATCGTTCTACTATAAGGACACATGCACACGAATGTTCATTGCAGCACTTTTTTTTTTTTTTTTTTTTTTTTTTTTTTTTTTTTTTTGGTACCAAATTTTTTTATTTGAAGGAATGGTACAAAGAACTTAAGTGGATGTTTTGGTACAACTTATAGAAAAGGTAAAGGAAACCCCAATATGCATGCACTGCCTTGGTGACCAGGAAGTCACCCTGTGGCTATGGGGAAATTAGCCAAATTAGCCAAAGGCTTAGCTTTCATTATCACTGTCTCCCAGGGTGTGCTTGTCAAAGAGATATTCTGCCAAGCCAGATTGGGGTGCTCCCATCTTGCGCAAGTTGGTCACGTGGTCACCCAATTCTTTGATGGATTTCACCTGCTCATTCAGGTAATGCGTCTCAATGAAGTCACACAAATGGGGGTCATTTTTGTCAGTGGCCAGTTTGTGCAGTTCCAGTAGTGACTGATTCACATTTTTTTCCAAATGTAATGCACACTCCATCGCATTCAGCCCGCTCTCCCAGTCATCATGGTCTGGTTTCTTGATATCCTGGAGGAAGATGCGGCCACCTCGTTGGTTCTGCAGCTTCATCAGTTTCTCGGCATGTTCCCTCTCCTCATGAGACATGGACAGGTAAACATAGGAGGCGTAGAGCTCCAGGTTGATTTGGCGGTTGATGGCGGCCTCTGAATCCTGGTGGTAGTTCTGGCGCACCTGCGAAGGTGATGCGGTCGTCATGGCGGCGGCTAAGGAGAGGCGGCGACGGCGGTGGCTGCGCGGCGCTGGAGAGGCGGGGGCCTTGGGACGATCCGAGGACCCGGTGTGGAGGTGACGGAGGGCTGGCTGTAGGCGGCCGGCCGGGGTGGGGGACGAGCGCCGGGTTCCGTCCAAGCACTGTTGAAGCAGGAAACCGCGGCGACTCTCAGCGAAGAACGTCTCTGCAGCACTGTTTACAATAGCAAAGACCTGGAATCAACCCAAATGCCCATTGATGATAGACTAGATTGGGAAAATGTGGCACATATACACCATGGAATATTATGCAGCAATCAGAAATGATGAGTTTGTGTCGTTTGTAGGGACATGAATGAATCTGGAGAACATCATTCTCAGCAAACTGACACAAGAACAGAAAATGAAACACCGCATATTCTCACTCATAGGCGGGTGATGAAAGATGAGAACACATGGACACAGAGAGGGGAGTACTAAACACTGGGATCTATTGGGGGGAAAAGAGGAGGGCTAGTGGGAGGGGGAGGTGGGGAGGGATAGCCTGGGGAGAAATGCCAAATGTGGGTGAAGGGGAGAAAGCAAACAAAACACACTGCCATGTGTGTACCTATGCAACTGTATTGCATGCTCTGCTCATGTACCCCAAAACCTAAAATGCAATAAAAAAATAAATTAATTAAATTAAATTAAAAAAAAAAGAAATGTCCAAAATAGGCAGGATGCCAGTCTCCACTCATAGACACCAACCAAATCTCCCATGGGTATATCCTTTTAGAAAAACCTAATCAATATGCAGAATGCTTGCTGCGTCTAGTGCAGTAGTTAGCTTTCCAACACAGAAGATGAGTGAAGTAGAAGTCCCAGTCCTCTAGAAAGTAGTTTCATAATTTTCTAAACTAGTAATATTAATAATGATAATGAAAACTCAAAAGTGCAAGAGATTAAATGTCCATAAAAAGAGACGTTATTGAATCAATCATAGTATCTGTTTAATAAAAATGCATTAAAGATATTGATATACATATGGTGATTCATGTATGCAAGAATTCATTAATTCAAAAAATTTTATTAACTTTACTATTTGATTAAAATTTCCACTATTAAATGGAGAAGCCTTAGAGTAGGATGTATGACCCCAAATGCAATTAAAAAAATCAGGACATATGCATGTATATGTCAGGCTCTATCTTTCACAGATTAGATCATTTAATCATCCAGACAAGCTTATCCTCAATTTACAAATGATAGTAATAATTAGTCCAGTGTTAATTAACTTGTCCAATTGGGGGACAAAAGCAAGATTCAAATCCAAATACTCTGACAACACAATGGGAAATTACAGTAATTTAGTCTAAAGTCATAGAAAACTGGTACCATTTGGGTTATTCAAAGAATCTCTTTAGACAATAAATATGGATTTTCAATGTTCTAGTATATTTCCATAGATGAACATTTTGAAACTTTGGTTGTATTATATCTTTATTATTAAAGATGTTTTGGGGTATTTTCTTTCCTAATTAGCAATTCCAATGAAAGTATGAAAATCTGGATACAAGAAATAGCTTGTTAATTTGTAGATAACTTTACTCACCTACTGTTTAAAATTATTTGTTCAAAAATGTTGCTTACTTTTCTCTTCATGACTATTCACAACTAATGTGATCTATAAATATGCATACCATTTACATCACAAAGAGTTAGCTAAACAACCTTCATATAATATAGGTGCCCTATACTTTATTTTCATATGCATTTGAAAAAGAAGACATCATATAAAAAAGACACTTGCATACACATTTCTAGCAGCACAATTCACAATTGCAAAAATATGGAGCAATTAAATGCTCATCAATCAATGAGCGGATAAAGAAAATGTGGCATATATATATATGTGTGTGTGTGTATAAGCCGTAAAAATTAACACAATAATGGCATTCGCAGGAAACTGGATAGAATTGGAGACCATTATTCTAAGTGAAGTAACTCAGGAATGGAAAACCAAACATCAAATGTTCTCACTTATAAGAGGGAGCTAAACTATGGGACAAAAATGCTTAAGAACGATATAATGGACAGTGAATGAGGGGTAAAAGACTACACACTGGGTACAGTGTACACTGGTTTGGGTGATGGATGCACCAAAATCTCAGAAATCATCACTAAAAAACTTATCCCTGTAACCAAACACCACCTGTTCCCCAAAAACCTATTAAAACAAAAAATGTTAAATAAATAAATAAAAACATCATTATCAACAACAACAACAAAAAGGTAAAATGGCTTTCTCCATGTGATAAAGAAGAAGTAGTGGAGACCTTCTAGTTTCTGGCAATGTCCTATTTCATGGCCTTTCTGATGGTTCCATGAGCATTTGCTTAATGATCGCTCATTAGGCTGTACAGTTTTATTTTGTGCATATTCCTATATGCATGTTATATTTTACAGTAAAAATGTTTAAAGAAGAAACAAAAGTGAGGCATAGAACCGTATTTCAAGTCAGTTTCATGTGCTTGCTTTAAAAAAATTATCTTAATACTATATTATAGAATCAAACATCATTGTTTGTTGTTTCAAATCTAATTGTATGTATTCTTTGGACAGATCTATTACTTATTAACAATTATTAGCAGAGTAACCACTTTTACGCAGACATCTGTGAAAACATTAGAAAAAGATGCAATCCTTAACCGTGGGCAGTATTTGGTCTTCTTTTTCCTTTATATAACCTCTCTTTCCAGAAGTTGATCTATTCTCATGACATTAACTATTTTAATGCCTTTATTTCTCCCAACTATATGTATGCTTCTAGCTTGTTTTTCAAAAGATCCACTTTGCTATATTTGTAGCCAGAATGTAGGATGCAGAAGGACCTGGAAACCTTCTTCTATGTTGTTTTATGATACAACCTGATATCCTTAGTGTTTGACTCACAGTAAGGATTTAATAAATATTTGTCAAATAAGCAGATGAATAAATGTAGCTTCTGAGTAAACACTGACCCTTCATTACTTTAATGACAAATAACTACTATATTTTTTAAACAGATAAATACAAATTATATATTTTTATGGTGTACAACATATTTTTTTGTATTTATTTATTAATATTTAGCTGATATACTCACATATCACAAATCAAAACAAAATACAATAGGGTTACGGTAAAGTAGGGTGACTGTTGTTAACTAAAGTTGACCTCCTTCTTTACCTGAGTTTTTGCTTTCTGCAGTTTCAGTTACCTGTGGTAAACCATGATCTGAAAATATTCCACAGAAAACTCCAGAAATAAACAATCATAAGCTTTTTATTGGTGGATAATATTTGCACAAATTAGTGGGGTACATGTGATAGCTTGTTACATGCACAGAATGTCTAATGATCAAACCTGGGTATTTAGGACATCCATCACCTCAAGTATCTATTATTTCTATGTGTTAAGAACATTTCAAGTCCTCACGTCTATTTTGAAATTTACAATACGTTGTTGTTAATTATAGTTGTCCTACTCAACATCAAGCATTAGAACTTATTCTTTCTATGTAACTTTCTTTTTGTGCGCATTGGTTTGCCTCTCTTTATTTCCACCCCAACACACACCCACATCCTTCCCAGTCTCTGGTAACTATCATTTCACTCTCTGCCTCCATGAAATCAACTTTTTAAGGTCCCACATAAGTGAATACATGTGATATTTGTCATTCTGTGTCTGTGTTTTTTTAAATGTAATGACCTCTAATTCCATTCATGTTGCTGCCAATGACATGATTCAATGCTTTTTAGAGGTGAATAATATTGTACTGTGTAAATGCACTGAACTTTCTTTATTCATGAATGTGCATTAATTAATGAATGCTTAGCTTGACTCCATACCTTTGTTATGGTCAATACTGCTGCAGTAAACATGCGGGTACCAGGGAGATAACTGTATGAGGGATATACTGATTTCCTTTCCTTTGGAAAAGTGTCCAGTAGTGAAATTGTTAGACCATATGGTAGTTCTCTTTAGTTTTTTTTGAGGAATCTATACTGTTTTCCATAGTGGCTGTACTAATTTACATTCCCTTCAACAGTGTATAAGAATTCCCTTTTCTTTACATCCTCTCCAGCATCTGTAATTTTCTTTTTTTTTTAATAATATACATCCTAATTCAGATAAGATGATATCCCATTGTGGTTTTGATTTGCATTTCCCTGATGATTAGTATTGTTGAACACTTTTTCATATACATGTTGGTCAATTGTATGTCATCTTTGTAGAAATATCTATTTAGATCCTTTGTCTACATTTTAATGGGGTTTTTGTTTGTTTGCTTTTGGTTTTGTTTTGTGTGTTTGTGTGTGTGTGTGGTTTTTTTTCTGCTGAGTTGTTTGAGTTTCTTGTATACTGTGGATGATAGTCTCCTGTAAGATAAAAGCTTTGCAAACATTTTCTTTCATTCAACACGTTGTCTCTTCACTTTATTTTCTTTGCTGTTCAGAAGCTTTTCAGTTTGGCAGTTGTTGTTTTTGTTTCCTATGCTCTTGGGGTTTTAGCCACAAAATCTTTGCCTAAACCAGGTGGAATATGTCCCCTATGTTTTCCTGTAATTGTTTTATAGTCTCAGGTCTTACATTTAAGTCTTTAATTCATCTCCAGTTGGTTTTTGTATATGGTGATAGATAAGAGTCTAGTTTCATTCTTCTGCACATCCATATCCAGTATTCCCAGCACCATTTATTAAAGAGGGTGTCTTTCCCCTGATGTATGATTGTGATGCCTTTGTAAAAAATCATTTGGCTGTAAATTTGTGGATTTATTTCTGTGTCTTCAATTCTGTTACTTTGGTTTATGTGTCTGTTTTTATCCCAGTACCATGTCGTTTTGGTTACTACAGGCTTCTAATATTTCTTGAAGTAAGGTAGTATGATGTCTCCAGCTTTGTTATTTTTGCTCAGGATTGCTTTGGCTACTTGAGCTCTTTTTTGGTTTAATGCAACTTTTAGAATTGTTTTTCTATTTCTGTGAAAAATATCATTGATATTTTGATACAGATTGCACTGAATGTGTAAATTGCTTTAGGTCATATGATCATTTGAACAACATTAATTATTTCAATCCATGAGCATGGGATATCTTTCCATTTGTTGTGTCCTCTTCAATTTCTTTCATCAGTGTTTTGCAGTTTTCCTTACAGAGATGTTTCATTATTTTGGTTAAATTTATTCCTAGGTATTTTAAAATTTTTGTAGCTATTGTAAATGGGATATCCTTTTTAAATTTCTTTCTCAGTTACCTCATTATTAGTGTATAGAAATGCTACAATTTTTATATATAAACTTTGTATCCAACTTTACTGAATATGTTTGTAAAATCTAGTTTTTTGGTGGTCTTTTAGCTTTTCTAAATGTAAAATGATGTCATCTGTAAAAAAGGGACAATTTGACTTCTGTTGTCAAATTTGGATGTCTTTTATTTTTTTCTCTTGCCTGATTGCCCCAGTTATGATTTCCAGTACTATGTTGAACAGGAGTGGTGAAAGTTGTCATTCTTGTCTAGTTCCAGTTATTAGAGGAAACGCTTTATCTCATTCATTTTGATGTTTGCTGTGGGTTTGTCATACATGGCCTTTATTATATTGATATATGTTTCGTTCATGCCAAGTTTGTTGAGAGTTTTTATCATGAAGAGATGCCGATTTTCTTAAATGCCTTTTCTGCATCTATTGAGATAATCATATGGATTCTGTTGATGTGATGTATCATGTCCATTTATTTGCATATGTTGAACCATCCTTGTCTCCCTGTGATGAATACCACTTGAGTGTAGTATATTATCTTTTTGATGTGCTGTTGGATTCAGTTTGTTAGTACTTTGTTGAAGACTTTTCTGACTATGTTCTGACGAACATAGTTTTCTCTTTTTTTGTTTTTGTCTTTGTCTGGTTTTAGTATCAGAGTAATGCTGGCTTCATAGAATGAGTTAGAAATAATTTTCTTCTCTTCTATTTGTCAGAATAGTTTGAGGGGAGTTGGTCTTAGTTCTTCTTTATAAGCTTGATAGAATTTGGAGGTGAAGCTATCAGGTCTTGTGCTTTTCTTTCTAGGCAACTTTATTATTGATTCAATAGCATTAATTGTTACTGATCTGTTCAGGTTCTCTATTTTTTCCTGATTCAATCTTTATAAGTTTTATGTGTCTAGGAACTTATCCATTTCCCATAGATTATCCACATTGTTGGTGTATAGTTGTTCATCGTAATCTCTGATGATCTTTTTGTATTTCTGTAATGTCAGTTTTAACATAATGTTTTGAAACATATATACATTGTGGAATGGCTAGATTGACCTAATGAACATATGCTTTATCTCAGATACTTCCCTTTTTTTGGTGACAACACTTAAAATATACTGTTTCTCAATTTTCAAATATGAAATATTGTCATTAATTATAGTCATCATATTGTACAATAGATCTCTTGGGTTAATTTCTTCTAACTGAAATTTGCATCTTTTCACCAGCATCTTCCCAGCCCATCCACAACCCCATCCCCAGCCCCTGGTAATTTCCATTTTATTCTATGCTTCTGTGAATTCAACTTTTTAGATTCAACATGCATTCATTCCTCAAGTGAGATCATGTAGTATTCATGTTTCTGTAACTTC